GGACCAAAAATGTCCACCCTGTTAGGGACAAATGAACAACAATTTAAAATATTTCTGAAAATGTAAAATTTCATATTTAAAAAGTTTAAATACACCACTTCTTCAACTGCTGTCACTGTCACTGTGCACACTACATGTGTCCAGCCTCTCAGGCGTTCTGACTCCACCGGGTGGAAGTTTTGAGCTAAAATCAGTCTGAGAAAAAGTGCTAACACTGAAGATCTGTCAAACTAAGAATTTAAAAATATGGTACTTTTACAAATAAGAATTTCTATTTACTTTTATTTCACATCCCCCTTAACAGGGTGGACACGTCGAATCAGATTGGAAAGATAAAATAAGCAAAAACAGACAATTAACCAAACAGAGGCTCTCCTTCACCTTCCCCAGTGGTTTTCCCTTCCAGGAAATTATGTCAGCTGTTTGAGATATTAATTCACTTTTTCCAGCTTTCATTTAAAGGGCCAGTAGTCGAATATAACAGGGTGGACAAGCTAAACATCTTTATCATTTTTTAAATGAATTTAATACTTGGAAAGTATATATTCACTATTACTGATATACCAAATAAGGTGAAAAATCTTTAATTCACTCATGCTAAGCGTTGTGTTCATCCTCAGAATGGCAGACACGGGCCTGGGAACTTAAAATGCTGTAAAATGTTTAGAATTATATAGAAATAAAATCTTAAATATGCTTAAAGTTCACAAGGTGCTTTTTGTTTTTTTTCACATCAAAGACAACTTTAAACTTGATGTTGTTGATAATGTTAAGACGATAACATCCCGATCTTTATTAAATACAAAAGCAGTGGTAGTTATTAAGCTTGATGTGGTTTGGAATTGGTCAAATGTGCTTGGGGGAAAAAATCAAAATATTAAAAATATATAAAAGCTTTGAGCGGAATATCAGCAGGCGCTGTGCAGTATTAGTGTGCTGTCCATCAGTCGGGTTCTCTGGCCTCTAGCGGGCGCTGTTAGCCGGCAGCACGGAGATTCAGGTGTTTTCAAGGCTCACCGAGGAGTTAAACACCGGACTCTTTCAATAACAACCAACTGCAGAACCGCAGAACCATACGTCATGACA